GTAAAGGAAAATCTATAAATGAAAAATGAATTTCATTGTTTAAAAGGTTGTAGTTGTTATGGGTTTGACTTTTACTATTAGAGGAATAAACTCATTCATTAGTGATTTTTCAGCAAATCCTTTCTCACAAATTTGGTTTTGAGTCCTGCTCACAAGGAATTAGTGGCACTTCACGCACATGGATCATTCATATAATTTACTCCATTTAGACTTGAACTAAGTGTGTGGAAAATTTTATAGTTTTAATAGGTTCATTGAAAAAGTGCTAAGAGTCTATTTTTATTTGTTATTATGTTTTTTTTATTTTTTTATTTTGCTAATAACGAGGAGATTGATTATATGGTAAGTTTTCCTGTGTCATTTATGAAACAAATGGGGAGAGAGAGTGTTTTGACTATGTTTTTGAGACATTACATTGGTTTTTCATATCATTTTGGACTCCACATATTTGCTTTGCTATCTTAAGTTTTGATGTCTTGTGAAATTAATGTTGTTGGTGTTTTGACTAACATTGATATTGCATCTTAACCTAGCTAGCATGATCATGATATTATGTCTTAATTGCTATATTTCCTTAATTTTTTTATGTGCTTTTAGACTTGGTATTTAAGTTGTTGATTTCAGGAAATATGTTTAACAAAGAAAGCAACTTACCAAGTTACAGCCGAGTCAGTTGGATTTTAGGTAGATTAGTTTTGTTTACTTTGACATGTAATACTTAGTTTTGTTACATAATGTCAAAGGTGGAGTTTGTTAGATGTTACTGTATTTCTCTATTCTTTAGACAAACTTGAAGTTATAAAAGAGTTATAAAGTCAAAGAGTTATCTAGTGTTGGGAATTTACTTATCATGCACAGCAAAAATAAAAATAGATTTCAATTCCTACTAAGGACCTGCTTTGTGTTTAGATAGAAACTGTGGCAGAATTTGTATCTTTCTTGAATTTTGCAAACTTTTTTGCTATTCTTTCTTTGATTCTACAAATTCCTTTGCTAATTTTGTTGATTTTGCAAACTCCTTTGCTATTATTTCGCTCGAACAATCTTGATTTTTCACCCACAGCTGTCCAATTATCCAGCCTCCAATGAAATTCCATATAGAGAACAAGATTGTAGAGAGAACTAAGGCTTACTTTTCTTGCGTTAGCAAGAGGAATGAAAATTTTCTACAATTTTCTAACACTAACTGCTTATTTAAATAAGTCCAAACAGACTTGGCCTGTCTACTAACTTGACCCAATATTTAATTAACCTATTTAATTAAATTTGATCCATGATCTACTTAATTAATTCGAGCCTATATATAAGCAACCTAATTAACTAATTTACCTAACACTCGTTAAATTAATTAATTGATAAATTACAATATTCTAGTTCTTCTTTTCTGTGTGACCCATCAGGTTCCCAATGAAAATGCCTAACGACGTTAAGTATTGTTTTGATTTAATCAAAATTGATAAATTAAAATACCCTTTTAATTTATCACTAATTCACATTCGCCGTCCCAGATTAATATCTAGTAATGTGTTAGGGCAATATATGTAACGAAAAATGTCACGTGGTATGACAAAACAAAATTCGTTCGTTTACTATGAAACTATAATCCCTTCTCAATATGATTAATTGCGAGATATGAAAGTGTGTCAATCTCGATTATCGATCATATCTTTCATTCCACTATTAAGTCAATATAAGTCAAAAACTCCTTTTTGACTTCTGAGTACACCTTGGCCAAGAATTTCATAATCAACTTAATTGAATAAAATGTAGATCATAATCTCTTACTATCTAAGAGTAACGAAGTCTCTATTGGCCATTCACAACCTTCATATACGATTCTTGATATACTCGAACGATGCCATATTAGCAGCCCTTGGTAGAGCAACATCCAACACCGCGAAAGTATGACTGTCCTCATATAAGGCACTATGATGACCTCAAGTCAAAGGATCAATTCCACTACCGAATGTTAGAGATTAACCACTGACACTCAGATAGTTATCCATGTGGAATCTTCCAGCGGGTCTCCGATGTTTTGTTCTATAATAAAACATCCACGTATTCATTCAAGTGTCACCATACTTCAGCTTGTGAGATCAGCTACTTACTTCACAAGTAAGAAATACCACACATGATGGTCTATTTGTAATAACGTTATCCGTATCTCGTCATTACTTATGATCGCGGATGATTTAATATTCAATCGTATATAATTTATATCTCACAATCACACTCATGATTAACAAATTATCAAGATTTGAATCTACGGAATCTATTATTTAATTTAATTGAATATTAATTAAATAATAGATCTACCATAAAATTGCATCAATTATATGTTAAAAGTATTTATGTTTGGACTTAGGGCATAACACTTACATTTGGGAGGTTGTATAAGTCAACTATTGTCTTTGTGTTCAACTATTGAACAAAGAGAAAAAGTAACTGGAATAATGCTAGTTGCCTGCTCCTTCAGGGCTTGAGCATCACCTTAGAGAAATCAACTAAACATCTGCCGTTAGCCTGCTGCCCACTTTGCCCTTGAGCTAGCAATAATATCTAGGAAAATTATGTTTTGCGATTTAAATAGCTTTTTGAGTCCTAAACAATCCCAAACACCTTCTACTATATATATCCCAGTCCTATTTCATCTATATTGGTAGTTGACCATTATATTCTTCCTAGAGAACACCTTTTAGAGATTCTACATCAATTTTATACTTTGAGATCAATCAATCACACTTTCTAAAACATCAATCCAAATTTTCAAAACACCAAATCACCCATTTCTATATAATCCCTCAAAATTCTGAATATTGAGAAAGAAAATCGGAGTTTCGATAGGACAAGAATAAGGAGTTCTTTGTGATCCATAGGAGATGGACGATTCCAAAAGGTTGGGAGCTAGCACATGAGCACGTAGTCTAAGATAGCCTTAGAGGTTAGTCAAGTCTGGATTGTATTGCAAGTCATTTTGTCTATGGTCAATTTATTGGCTTGGCCTGAAGTTTTTTGATCATTTACGAAGATTTTTTTTTCCATGATCAATTATTGTTTTTTTTTCTTTTATGCAAATTATAAACTTTGGCAATTCAACATATGATAGACTTGCATGTGAATTCATATAGATTAATAAATTTTTGTGAGTTGTTGCTTATAATAATTGGTAAATTTAAATTTCGTATTAATCACCTATTCACCCTTTTCTAGATGTTAGTTGGGTCGAATTTAATCATTTCAACTATTTTACTTGAACTTCTCTTTATTTAAGAAATTAATAAAACAAAATTTCAAACTATAGAATTTTAGTATCACTTATTTTAGGCATTTACAACTTTTACTTAACCTTTGTTTTGTTGAACAAAAAAAAGTTTATTAAGATCTAATCCAAAGTCAACAATTAATGTTAATCATAAGTTTCATGGATGACAAATGATGGAAATGTAAATGATAAGAAAAATGTTTTGTTCGCATGAACGGATGTTGCTCGAATTTTGCTCAGATGGATGTGGAAGAAATATTGACCTTCACCAATTAACGAAAAATTTGTAATATAGTGATCAAAACATATGTAGGATTTTCAAACCCTTAACACATATTTATAGAGTTATAACGAATCGTAATCAAAGAAAAATCCTAATATGTAGATAAATTTAAATAAAACAAAAAAAATGTTAAAATGGCAAGAATATCCTTAAATTGATTTAAAACAGAAAATTACTTGAACAGACCCATACACGATGAAATTTATTCTAAAAGTTTGACAACATCATCTGAAAATTTTGTAGAATTAAAAAATGCTTCGGAATGTAATCCGTCGCATAAATGTGACACCCAAGCTGAATGTTGTGTGTGTTTCGTAGCTCGTTATTTTTCCTCTTCTTTTATTAGTTTAGTATTTTCTCTTCTAATTGGTCCACACTATTTCCTTCCACCTTAGAACAATTCAACCCTAAGTTGTCATCAAGATATGAAGATTATCATTATTTGAAATACACTCATAAAGATCTGCAACATTAAACGTTTTAGAAATCATCATGTGCTTAGTAAGATTAAGGATTTTTTTGCAAAATTTGAAAAGGCCCGTACTTCTTCTAACTTCCATCACGTTCTTTCCTTGCAAACACCATAACCATATTATCCCCCTAAAACATTTTTTGGTGCCTATCTGTATCAATAGTGGCCTTATACATTGGAGCTTCCGACTTTTTCTTCTCCTGTTGAATCACCTCCATATGTTGTTCAGCTAGTTATTCAGTTGTTGCACTCTTTGTCATAGTTGTTCCACCAAGGTCCTTCATATTTTCGGAAAACTTACTGACTAAATTTGTAACAGTCGTAAAATTTTCCCTTCCACTTTAAAAGTTTTCTAGTACGTCCTATCTTTTTATCATTCCATTTTAACATTTAGGTGTTCTCTACACTCAAATGTATGACTCCACATCAAAATGTCATGATTTGCCCAATAGAACATAACATGCATCAATCTCAATAATGTCGCAAATAATTTTCGATTTGTAAAGTTCCCCATGAACAAAGATAACCTAGAAATTCAAATCGTCTTAATAGATAGGCCCTTCTAAATCCAACCAATGTGATAAAATTTTGATGTTGTTCAGTTGCCACCTTTAGATGATCTACTAGCTTCTTTGTGATCACATTCTCACAACTAAACTATCTTTGATCAGACTACCAAAAAAGAAATTAAATTAAAAATCACAAACACACTTGGCCTAAAAGATCTTCCTATGTTGAGTCAACTATTCCTACTTGGGTGAGCATAAGATTTTTTGCACTATATACACAAAATCTCCTTGTTCTTTTTCACATACTTCATCGGAGTATTCTTTCTCTGGCGCGCAGGATGAAAACATGAACAACAACAACAACAACAACAACAACAACAATAATAATAATAATACTCATTCTTATTCATAATACACAAAGAAGTGTTGCTCAAATTTTGTTCGAACGGACGTAGAAATATTGGAATCTACCAATTAACGAAATAAATTATGATATTATTAATCAAAATATTTGTAGGTTGTTCAATCCCTTTAACACAAATTTAAAGAGTTAAAACGAACTCTAATCAATGCAAAATTCTAATTCTGTAGATAAATCTAAATAAAATTAAAAACTATAAAAATGACAAAAATATCCTTAAATTCGCTCAAAACAGAAAATTGCTAAAATGAACTCCTAAATATTGCATGCCATCCACGTGTATGCTATCCACATATATGCTTTTTGTTTGATGACATCCACAATTGCTAAAATGATCCACCATTTGACTCGTTCAAATATTGCATGCCATCTTCGTGTATGCTCTTTGTAGTATCCACTGCCACGAGTAAAATCCATACATCTCCAATCCAATGTATAAAGATACGACCATTGCAATTGAAAGTTAACCTAGAAAAGAAAAGAAAAATGGTGTCAAATCTGAAACCAAAGTATGCATACACACAGTGCGGGTTCTATGATTTTGGAGGCCCGAGGCGAACTTCATAGAGTAGGCCCCCTCCAAAAAAAAAATAATAATTGTGTTATGCATGCATAATAGGTGACTAGGTGAGCAGCTTTTCAATGTTTTCATTGGTTCAAATTCCTAAATAATGCTCTATTGAAGACCTCTCTCTTTGGCCTTTGCTCCCATTCAAACTCTTGTTCACTGTATTTCCAAATAGTTTATTGTTCCATGAAGATTACCTATCAGCATAAAAGGAGAGGAATGAACTCACAACTAAGATTCCTACACATCATAGAGCTCATTACAATGCACAAATTCTAGAAATTTAATTCAACAACCTAGTCGCAATGCTTAAAAATAAATCAAGGAAAAGACAACTTATATNTGTAAAAGGAATCACATTGAAATAAAAGGTAAACAAACATATTCTGTACAAAAAATAGAAGTTTTTGATTTCTTAAATATACACGAATGTTCACTGGCCAATGGAAGGGGGAAAAAACAAACCATATATGCTTGAATTATAAAGACAAATTTCAATTAACAGCCCTATTCAATCTACTTCATCTGAGAAATTCTTCAATGCAAAAAAGAAGAAGGAATACATACGAATCAGATTTTATACCGGTAATAGGCAGGCAGTCGCGTGGAGCGGTGCAGCGGACGGTTGAGAGAGAAGACGGCGTCGCCAAGCGTCAAGGTCAGTGCCGAATCCTTGGTGGTTTTGCCTTTCTCTGGTTGTTTCTCGCCGCTCACAATTGGGACAGAGGGAAGGGAAGATGGGTTACGCGTAGGAAATCGCAATTAGGGATTTGGTATATTTTTAAAAATAAAAATATGAGGCCCTTAAATTTTTGGGCCTGAGGCAAGGGCCTCACTTGCCTCGGCCCAAAACCTGCCCTGCATACACAGTGGTTTATGTTAGAGATGTAGCCAAATTTGTTGCATTTTACGCCAAAGCATTTGGTTATCAAGTGCGCCGCTTAGATCATTCTAACAGGTAAATGACATTGAAATATTATTGCGATCAATGACACTAAAATCACGTGATTATTGTTAAGTTAGAATCTTGAAATCTTAGTACATGTTTAGGAACGCTTGTCCAGTTTTATGAACTGTCAGATGTCATTTTTATCTACACATTTTATATGATTCACGATTTATAATATACTACTATGCTTTTATCATAATTACATGCAAATGAGTCCAGCATCATAGAAGTGGATTGATGTCAAATAGAAAACGCTTTGGACGAGGATGGTCTTGTGGGGTTCTGTGTGATTTGAGCGAATTTAACCCTTCTTTTGTCTAATTGAAATTAGATTTTGGAAATTTTGATAAAAATTGATGAAATGAATGGTAGAGAAATTATGAGTCTAATGAAATGGGTTATTTATTGATTTTAACTCAAAATTCATATCAACTTAAAATTTTATCAAGCTTTCAATCTAAATCAAGCAGGGTATTAAATTCTTTTGACATACAATAAAAAAGAATACTGAGGATATCAACGGCCATGGTTGAATTGGAAGGTGTTTTCTTCTCTTTTTCTAATTTTACGTGGATTAATGCTACTTGGCCTTACTGAGGTTAAATAACACTAATGCAGTTATTAAATGATATCTTAAATAAAAGGTGGAATTATCATTCAACCATTATTTTATCCACATAGACTTGGGTTGTGGCCAAAATTGCATTACTCTTTTGTGGATCTCTCTCGAGATCACTATCAATCTCAATTGGTCTTTTGAAGTCGTGAAACTTTTACTTAAAAATCTACCTTGATTTTGCGGATTGGGTCCATTAAAAAAGAAAATATAACCATATAATCTAATGTTTTGTACGTGAAAATATTTGAATCCTGTTCTAATTTCTTGGGATTTGCATATGTTGAAAGAAAATACCTTTATTAATTTTGTTGATTGGATTGGTGTAGATTGGGTGAGCTAGAGAGTGGGGAGACCACAATAGCATTAACACCTGCGCACCAACACGAGACAGATGATTTGAGTGGCGAGGTTCGATGCCACAATCTAGCCATGAGAGGAACCCTATCGAGGTCTGTTTTGATTATTCAGATGTGGGCTCCGCCTACAAGGTATGGTATAAACCTAACTTCCCTGTGAAGATTTTCTTGCAAGTTTGGCACACTGTGATTTTTTGAGATTGTTATTTGTAGGTGGATCAAAATGCTGTAGAGAACGGTGTCGTACCAGTTAGTGAGCCTAAGGAGAAGGAATGGGGACAAAAAGTAGGGTACGTTCGAGATATTGACGGGATTGTGTTGAGGATGGGGAGCTACATGAATTCGTCCAAAGCCCATCACTGAACATCGCCATGTATTCTAGATTTATCTTGTCTCATGGCTTTCATTCCCTTCCTTAATGTTTGTACCAATTAAAGATCATTTACTTTTGGACGTCTCAACGTATGAATTGTAGATTTATTATAGTTAGAGAATCTCGTACATATGGAGTTGTCTCAATTGATCATGTAAAAGTTAAGATAATTTTGCCGTTTCACTTATACAACATGAGCATTACTTAATGAACACCTTGATCAATCAATTATAATTTTTATTGATGACATTTCGGTATCCTCAAAGGATAAGGAACAACATTAAAGGCAATTGAGGGTTGTGTTGGAGATGCTTCAAAGAGATGAATTACATGTCAAATTTAAGAAATGTGAATTTTAGTTGGACCTATAAATTTTTTCGACAAGTACATCATTGCACAAGGAATTGAAGTGAATCAGACTGAGGTTGAAGCCATTGCTAATTGGTCTAGACCATTTAATGTCAATGAGGTCTATAGTTTCTTGTGATGGATCAGTTAAATCAGAGATTACTAACAGATTTTTTAAAATAAGGGACAAAATAACTCTACTATCCAGGAATATTGAAATTTCTGAATTATTATATGATGATTTTTGAACTTTTCAAATAGAAAAGAAATAGAAAGAGATAGATTCGAAACATCTATTATAACTGGTCTCTCCAAACTTTACATTTACAATTAAGCTGGTTGTATAGGGCCACATGGGTACAACGAGGATAACCATTATATTTAAGTCCCATTAAGAGATTCAAGATATCATACACGTTATTATTTTTGGTAGTTTGACATTTTTCACGGATTCAGGGTATAAAGTAACATCAGTGTGAAAAATAGGTTAACTTAATAAGCTTTTTGTACAACGCAATCAATTTAAAATGGGGCAAATTGCATAAAATAAAATAAAAATGAGTAGCTTTATATGAGATTTATGATGAGGATGGTTGTGTGACTTGTATAGAGTAACACCAGTGTACAAAAACAGTTTTAAATTAATAAGCTTTGTGTACAACGCATAACTTTAAAATGGGGCAAATTGCATAAAATAAAATAAAAATGAGTAGCTTTATATGAGATTTATGATGAGGATGGTTAAGTCACTTGTATAAAGTAACACCAGTGAGCAAAAATAGGTTTAAATTAATAAGCTTTTTTGTACACTGCAATCACTTTAAAATGGGGCAAATTGCATAAAATAAAATAAAAATGAGTAGCTTTATATGAGATTTATGATGAGGATGGTTATATATTCACAATTATATCTCTTTTACTATACAAATTTTTAATTATATTACAAGAGTCTAATTTTTTCTTTTGTTGCATTTATGTTCCTATCATTTCTTTATCACGCATCTTCAATTTTTCATTAATTAGCATTTGTCCCTTTTATTGGTTTACGTTCAAATATTATATTCGCTTGGTTTGAAATGGGAGACAAATGCTATGTTGTGCTTTTATATTGGTGAAGGATTGACCCATGCTTGACGATTAACAAGGTTGGCACTTCGTTTTAGTGTCGTGCCAAGAAAATATGGGTTGAGTCATAAACGGATGGTAACTCCGTCGCATTTTTCGGTTCCAAATGACGAACGGGACAAGGATGAGTAACATGTTCACATCCCCAATTCCTTGAACATGTCCCGAGTCATTTTAGCTAATAATGGTGTTATACGTTACTCATACCTTCAAATTATAAAGTGAAAAAATGAGGCAAAAAAAAAGTTCATTTAACTTTTTGTTTTAGTTTTGTAATTGATTAATAATATTTATTTAAGATATTTATTGTGTAATAATAATGTTTTCAAAATCAGATCCGATTGATTTGTTCAATCCAAAAATCTTGAACTGGTTCCAAAATCGATCGGCTACAAGTCAAAAACTGTCTAAAAAAAGGTAGGAAAAGTGGTCAAAAATCGATTGACAGCCGACATGACATGGGTTTACTGGTTGGATTCCTTAAAAGAGTGACATTTCTTTTATGGTAAATGATTCTATTTTTGCATTTAAGCGATGATAAATGAAGATTAGGCTTGAAGATGATAAAATAATAAAAGAAAAAAGAAAAGTGGCTCTGCCGAAAGCTTTACCATATTTCATGGATGAGGACTCACAAAAGTATGGCTGGATTCACGAGCTAGACTTGCAATAGAGTAAATGGATTAAAAATGCACATTTTGAATTAAATAATTAGCACGTTTGACTCAGCTAAAATTGTTCCATTAATAAATTTTAGAAAAAAAAAATGTTTACTTCAATGTTCAAAGGTATAGTTTTTCTTGACCAACTACTGTGGTCATCCTAATATGGTCCCCGATTTAAATTGTTTGGTTGGCAAAGGTATAGTTTTTCCAACTTCAATTCTTTGGTTGGCAAAGGTAAATTTTTCCCGACCAAAAAAAAGTAGTCAACCTATATTTTACTAACTTTGTTTTAAACCTTCACCGGCCCAAATTATGGTAAAAAAACCACTATTATTCCCGGCCAAATTCTTGTTGGCTAGTAAAAGCCTATATATTTCCCGACTAATATGTATTGTGTAAAAACCTATATATTTCCCGACTAAAATGTATTATGGTCAGTAAAAGCTTTTGTTGGCTGGCTTTTGACGACCAACTACCGAACAAGATTTTGTAGTCGGGAATTGAAAATACCGACTAATATTTGACATTTAGTGACCAGTCTTTGGGTCAGCAAAAATCATATTTCTTGTAGTGTGAGTTGCTCATTATATCTTTAGAGATAAAAAAAAAATGTAGTTGATATTATTTAAATTTTCAATTTACATTAGAAAATTTATTCCTTTAAATTTTTTGTTGATGTCAAAAAATGACTAGATTAATTTTATCAACTTAATTGATGATTTGTGAGAGGAAATTTGAGCCGAAATAGTATAATTATGCTGGATGAGTGGAATTGAGCTGAAATTGTAATAAAAATAAAGTGTTTGTATTACGTAGAGAAATTTGGGAGTATATACAATGTGTGTTTAGCATGTTTTCTCCGGGGACCACTACAATCCTTTTCATAGACAAAGATGGGCAAATTGCATGGCTTTACGTCAAATTAGCTACAATGCTGACCTTAATGTGTGTGTCACTGACCAAGTTTTATTATCTATTGAGGTCGGTCTTCATATGTCATGATGAAGTTGAGGTGGAAAGTAATCATTGCGATGGCAGGTCACAATTTTGGTGCCTCTTTGATGAAAATGGAGGGGTTAATTATTCATTCTGATTACTTGTGAAGAAAGATCATGCTGAGAATGTGATAGAATCACCGTCAGTCATTAATTAGAAAATGAGTAATTAGATTTTTCATGACCATTAGTTTGCACCTATACATTTACTAATTGTTGTTTGTATTTATGATCCATTATATGACATCCAAATAAGTTAATCTATTTGGTGTCTATTCAATTAAAAACACATTTGACTTAGCCTTCTGATATTTCA